AAATACGTCTTCCAAGAACGATGAATTTCTTGAATCAATCTTTCGTGTTCTTATGTACCTCCAAACTCTTGGACTCGTGTACTAAGAACCAATACACACCTTTGGCAAGACACCCCCACATTTCGTGCATTATTAGGAAACTTCCTACGTAACTACAATTCGTAAGAATTTCATGCGGGTAACCTTATTTAAAAGGTACTCACTTGTCCAAAGTATTGTCTCACCTCACATACTTTGAGGTAGACCCGAACATATCAACGTCTTGATATTTATGTTCGGCAACAACGTTCGACTGAGGTGAATACCGTACCGTACACTCGAGTACGACACTAACGCTTGCGCTGAAATCACCAATAGGTGTTTCTTTTTTCACCACAACGATTGTTCGTAACCGCATTAATCCACAATTAATTTGGTTTTTCTCTTTTTTATTCTTTAAAGAATAAACATGTGTTACACGCTAACACATCTCGTAGGTGCTAACAGATTAGCCCTCACGAATCCATTCGGTTTTGACCGAAAGGCCACAAACCCGAATCAGTGCTTCCGAAATTGAAGCACGAATCAGTGCTTAGTAGTGAAGCACGAAACATGCTATACCAAGCACGAATCATTGCTCCCAAACTAACGCGCCGATTCCAAAGCAATCTCTATTACTTTTATAAACTCACAGCAACATTCGGTTGCTTAATTTATAATTCCAGTGCTACCTAGCACAAGGATTATTAGCTAATTACACAATTAGCCAAGCCTCCTTTCGTGCAAATCACATAACACTTTTTCGCAATGCTAAATTTAATTAGCCTCTTGCGTAATGCTAATTCAACATTTTTGACGTCCAGTGCTATTAAGCACTACAATTAGCATTTCAACAATGCTAAGTTTAATTAGCATTTCTCATTAAGCTCAAGCTTAATTTGACGTCCCAACAATTTGTCTCAAATCATATTTCATACTAGTATAATTTGGAATTTTGATCAAGTTAATTATAACACAATTAACAAGAACAAATCAACCAAATTTCCGACTAGTTGAATCAAACTCATATGATCGTTCTTAGAATATTATTTAAAATATTCAACACTTGAGCTGTTACGCTCACGATTATATAGTTATTTCAAATTTTGACAAATTGATTCTTGAAATCCGTATCGTTTTACATGAACCTGAACTGAAGTTCGTTGCGGGATTTCAACATGTAACACGCTTGTTACATTTAATTTCGGCTGTTACGCCATTTTAGCATTTTCCACATAATGCTCCATGATGCATTACGCACCCGTATTGAATCTTTTATATATTGAAAATATTACACAAGAATATTTCAAAATATACAAAGTTCAATACCCACAAATGGAACAATTCATTTTATTCAACAATAAAATGTATCATAAGGATACTACAACATTTATTCAAAATAAATAAATAGGAAAATTACATTGGAAATTAATTTCCTTATTCCTATCTCGTAGTGATCCTTCAACCCGTGTGCCTTGTTCCATTTTCCAATCGTCCACTCCACGAAGGGTGGTCCATAGCGCACATCGGGGGTACCTCAGTTGTGACCTCACTCGTCCAACCATCCACATGTTTTAAAAATAGCGAAATTGTCCTCAACCTTTTCACCAGGATGACGATTCGCTTCATGGTGGCATTTCTCCTTCATTTCGTAATCTTCTTGAAAGCTAAGCTTCCGCTTGAGTTTCCTTCGATTACGTTTGAAGTCATTTGTAACACTACCATAGTCCTCAGACCATGTTGTCATTACACCATCATAGGATCCTTCATGGCTTTTAGCCGATCCACTAGACAACACAATAGGTACCAATTGTGTGTCACCAGCCACAGGTCTACCGGTTCGTGAACCAAAGTTCTCCGGAGCACCATCGTGTGTCTTTGCAACTCCCATGGAAATATTATTTCCAACGTTGCTGCCATCAACTGGCATCACGAAATGTGCAACATCGTTGCCATTCCGACCATTTGAATGTGCACCTCCGGCAACATTCACGGATCCAATACTCTTGGACTCCACCGATTTGTTCATTATCAAAATTTTAAGGTTTTAAGATCGTTGGTGATAATGAACCAAAAATCGATTTAATATCGTAAAATAATATTTATATATACACACACGAAGTATATAAAATATTATTCGATATATTATATCTGATATATATATATATATATATATATATATATATATATATATATATATATATATATATATATATATATATATATATATATATATATATATATATATATATATATATATATATATATATATACACACAAATATATATATAAATCAGACCACCATGGTTATATGCATGAATATCTACGGAAAAGATATATATACATATCAACCAAATGGAATTTATAATACACAGATTATAATTCCAACCAAACTATAACATAAAAGGAGGATTTTTGCTTTGAAGCATAATCCAAAACCGAAAGAAGGAAAGATTGGCTCGTGTTTGGGTAAGGGTTTTTAGCGTGAGTCAAGAGACCACTCTTTCCTTAAAACCTTATTTGCCACCTCTCAAAAGTGCTAGGAGCGCCGTGGCCTAGGTTTCCCAGGATAAAACGCGCTACGGTTCGACGTTCGAGCACCCAAACGAACGAACCCGGCGAACTAGAGCAAAGCCTTGAACACAGTTCGGCTTAAGAAAGGAGTAGAAGCAGAGTTTTGAGGAGAGAAAACACTTCTTGTGTTGTGTGTTCTTTTCACTATATGTTTGTATAAATTTGCTGCACTCTACCCCCTCCTTATATAGGGATTGAGGAGTGAATAACCTTTATTATGGCATTTAGGAGCACCCCACAACTTCCGTAACAGCAACCATTAACATGGGTGTTAATTCAAAAATTAAAGTTGGATTTAATTCAAAGAATTAATCCCATAACAGCTGAATCCTCGGCCACTGCTTTTGCAAAGTTTCGGCCAAGTATTCAAAAATTAAAGTTGGATTTAATTCAAAGAATTAATCCCATAACAGCTGAATCCTCGGCCACTGCTTTTGCAAAGTTTCGGCCAACTTGGCCGAAACTTGCAATTCCCATGCAAGAGTTTCAATAGTTTCGGCCACTTGGCCGAAACTAACACAATAATCTACACGAAATTTCGTGGCTTTGTTGGAAAATGAACACCGAAGTTTTGGGATTTGATTTGCACCGCTTACGCGTGAGATAGAGCCTCTATACTATACAATTCAATAAGCTTAATAAGAGCTCATATATAAATAGTGGGGCAAATCCTCTTCCCAAATCAATGTGGGACAAAAGCTCACTTTTTCCCTTCATTTTCCAACTCAAATGGGTCTCCTTTGAGAATCAATATCTCATTCACCCATTATCCGTTTTGTGCGCACAATATATCAATCTCTTCGTCTCACTACGAAGAACCCGAATCCACTTTGACCCGATCCAAATCGGAAGTGGACCCCACTGATAATTGTACCACAAAATAGCCACTTAATATGTCATTTTATGCCATTTCAAGCTATTTTTTCCAACATATGCATATGTTGCTGAGTATACATGCTTATATATATGTAGTATCCTTACTTGTGATCTACCGTTTGATTTCCATGTTGCCTATGCTCATACTTGATGTATTTGAATATCAACCGTTTTCTAAATCTATATCTATATTTATGTTACATGGTTGAGTGGCTTTATACTTAGCATTTTTATGCTAACGGGTTTATTTTCCTATACCCCTTTCAGGTGGACTTGATGCATGATGAGAGCGCGCATTCGATGTAGTAGTGTGTAACTCTAGAGCATAGTAGATGCTAGCCTTAGTTATCCTTTCTTTCCCTCTTTGGTGATTTGATGTTAGATATTCATGTGGCTAGACTACCTTGTTTTGGTTGGTACGTAGACACCGGGGTTTGCATACCCCTTTCTATTATGTATTGAACTTTTGACTCTAGATTGTAGAAGTTTTAGCTTGTGCAGTTACTCGAGGGTGGGTAACTGTGGCGGTGACACTCTCTTTTAGATGTTGTTTTTGAATTTATATATCCTAGCTTATCTTTATCTCCTTTCTTTTTAACTTATTTAGACTGCTTAAATCTAGGCTCTAAAGAATAGGAAATGGGGGTGTTACAAGTTTCTTCTTTGAAATTTCACTGGCATTAGTTTCCAAAATTGACACAAATACTTCCACTCCAACATAAAAAAAAAAAAAATTTACGAAATCAACAGAAAGACAAACGGTAACTTCACAGAATCACCGATAATCTCGTTTTCCTTTTTCTTCAATTTTGTTTTGTTTTTTTTGTTTTGTTTTTTTTTTTTTTGTTTTTTTTTTTCAATATCTTACTTGGTGAGGTTGAAAAGAAGAGTATGGATCCCTAGTTAAACTCAAGGTTTTCCTGCACGGAGGCCTGATGTACTCAACCGGGGTAATGGAGGCGACAAACGAGGTAACCGCCATGAAAAGTAGTCGCAATACATTCTTCAGCCGGGGATCCATGGCGGAGTGAAGGTGAGGAAAAGTAGTCGCCGGTCGTTGTCACTTTTTCATCTGAAATTTCGCCGGAGAGCGGGTGGAATCGTAATGACTTGTGATAGCAGCTCATTAATAAGTTTTTGGGTTTCATTGCATTAAAATAAATTGTGGATGAGTGTAATTGCATATTTAAAAGGGGATATTTGACTCTTCGCCCCACCCACCCCCAAAAAAAAAAATTAATAATAATAAAGGCTCATTTTTCTTGGACCAAGTCTTATTTTTCCATTGACTCATGTTTTTCATTACTTACCAAACACATAAAACTTGAAAAATTTCAAGTAATTTTCGAAAATTATTTTCCGAATTTTTAAACACACCCTTGGTTGATATTGTATGATGTAACATTGTAATTAATATATAGGTAATAGATGTTACACGTTGCATGAAATATGTCACGCGAAAAACAAAACTTTTCGGTGCAGATTTAAAATAAAGTGACTGTGAGGGACACCAAAATGGCGAGTCATGAAACAGAAGCTTGAATCATCCACAGGGGAGATCATGGATTTCGTTCGTCTTCTCTTCTTCCTCTTCTCCGTGATCGCGTCGATCGTGCATGAATCTTCAGGCTCACCAGTCATTAATCCATCTAAGGTCAAGCAAATTTCTTGGAAACCCAGGTATAGCGACTGAGATTTTCCAGGATGATTCATCAAAATCTCACAATTTATTGTGGTTTCGCTGGCTGAGCTGTATATCGTTTTATTGTATTTTCCAGAGCTTTTGTGTATGAAGGTTTCCTTACCGAGGAAGAATGCAACCATTTGATTTCTCTTGTAAGTATTTGGAAGCTTTTGTGATGAATTTGTGAGATTTAATTCCATTTGAAAGCTGGATTTTGTGTTTGGAATTAATTTATAGGCGAAATCAGAGCTGAAGAGATCAGTGGTGGCGGATAGTGAGTCGGGGAAGGGTAAGCTAAGTGAAGTTAGAACTAGCTCCGGAATGTTCATTCCTAAAGATAAGGTTAGTTCTTTGAATTTATCTGAATTTCTTGTTACTTTATTCATATACACAATTAAATCATCATTGTCATAGAGTTGTAAATAAATGCATTTATGCCTATGCAGTATACTAATCCTGGAAAATAATAGAGAAATTGATTGGTTAATACACATTGTTTTGTTGATAATTTTTCAAACACAGTATAGAATTTGATTACTGACAAAATTCATTACCTAATTTAAATCACCTATCATTCCATTAATTCAGTTTTATCCCTCTTCATTTTGTCACCTCCTCACTTCATGGATTTCCTCACTACATTGCCTACTCATTTCATCGCACTTTTAAGATCAATTGCCTTTATTTTTTATTTTTTATTTTTGTATTTTTAAAAGCTTTATTCCGATTATAGGTAACACGTAACCAAATATCAATATTGGTAATCATTCCAATTATACCCTACCACCAAACATTCAAAATACTTTCACCAAAACTCATTCCAATTACCAAATATGAATGATTCCAATTCCCATGTTCGAACCAAACACACCCATATATAGTTTCTTGCAAGACACTAATACAAGTAAATTTGTTTATAGGGTTTCCTGATTATTTCTATCTCCTCTACACCCTTTCATGCTGCAGGATCCAATTGTTTCTGGGATCGAAGAAAAGATTGCAACTTGGACTTTTCTGCCCAAAGGTGTGATTCTTATTGACTAATTTCTATATTATTTTCAAGCTAATTAATTATAACTAAATGACTAGTTTGTAAAATTTTGTTACCTGTACTACTCTTTATGAAAAAACAATAAAGCAGATTTTTTAGTGCTACTATATATGAATGTTAGTGAAGCATCAATGTGTTTTTTTTTTTTTTTTTTCTTTTTTAACTTTGAATTTTAAGATATGCTTTAGTCCTTGCTGTATTGTCTTCATGTCAAAATTTTAGATGCATCTCAAAGCTTGCAATCATTTGACACCTATATTTCTTTTCATCAGATAATGGAGAATCCATTCAAGTACTACACTATGAGGAAGGGCAGAAATATGAACCACACTATGATTATTTCTTGGACAAGGTTAATATTGTTCGTGGTGGACACCGCATAGCGACTGTACTCATGTATCTTAGTGATGTTGGAAAGGGTGGTGAAACTGTGTTCCCTAAAGCAGAGGTCAGTTTCGTTATTGCTTCTTCAAAATACTGCGGTAATTGTTAGTCAGGATATTGGCAATGTGTATATATGTGTGCGGGTGTATTAATATCTTTTCTTTGAGGAATAGGAGGTTTGTATACTAGACAGACTCATTTCTTGGATGGAAGGTGATTAAACACACGTTCAAAATGTGCAATCAAAATCTCAAAATAAATTATGAAAAAATTCTCTATGAAGTGAAACCTATTCTATCCATATTATGATAGCTCAAACAAGTAGTGTTAGAACCTTGGTTGCTTGAAAACAATCCAATGTCGGGCCAAACAACCGAGTTGGGCTAGCCGTCCATGCCACTGAACCTTTCTATAGACTATAGGCAAGAATCTCATTATTGAAGGAAGGGAAAATGGCACGTCCATGCAACTGAACCTTTCTATAGTCAAGAATCCCATTATTGAAGGAAGGGAAAACGACACTTGCCTGTGAATTGTTTCACTTTTGAAAATTTGATCCTGTATGTTAATTTAAACAAATTTAGTCCCTATATTGTTCATAATGTTGCACTTTTAGTCCCTAGTGTTATAAAATTGTTGAACTCCATTAACCTATGAGGTTATTTTTATCATTTAGAATCAATATTCACTATTAAAAATGACGTTCACATGGAGAAATGAAACTTTAACCGTGGATATTGATTCTAAAAAGTAATAACCTCTTAAAAAGAGTTTGCTAACAGGGTTTGATAATTATATAATACCAGCAATTGGAAGTGCAACATAATGGACAATTAAGTGACTAAATCTATTTAAATCAATTAATAGGGACCAAATTTTCTTAGATAATTTTTGCGTTTCAAATTGCATGGTCTGATTAAACAATCATTGTGTGCATGTTACCATCTCTCTTACCTTTTTTAAGCTAATGGAAGTCTATCGTTGCAAGCAATCCTTTAAAACTGTTTGCAGGAATCATCTCATCTTAGGTCAGTGGTTTCAGATGATGATCTATCCGAGTGTGCCAAAAAAGGCATTGCAGGTGACGTAACCATTGTATACAAGTCATATATTGAAGCATTGTTACGTTCTGTTTTGTTTGCAGTGAGTTAACGAGCTATATTCGTCTTCCATTTCTCTGGGAATATTTCAGTGAAGCCTCATAGAGGAGATGCGCTTCTTTTCTTCAATCTCCATCCAGATGCCACTCCCGATACCGATAGCCTCCATCGTGGCTGTCCTGTGATCGAGGGCGAGAAGTGGTCAGCAACAAAGTGGATTCATGTGGATTCATTTGACAGGATCATATCCATCGGGAGCTGCACTGACAAACACGATAACTGTGAGAGGTGGGCTGCTCTCGGAGAATGCACCAAGAATCCCGAGTATATGGTGGGAACTCCAGACGTTCCAGGTTACTGCAAAAAGGCTTGCAGACAATGTTAACCTCTGGATCGAAATTTGATGCTTTCAACACAAATTCCACGTTCTTCATTTAATTAGATTTTGTCCTTCGCTCTATCCCATCTTTATTGATTCATTACCAAATACAAGAATGTTCGTCTTATTTATGTGCTTCACAGAAAGGGTAATTTACCCTGTTTGTTTTTTCATCTTGTTTAATCCTTTGTGCAACTATGAAGAAGATTAGTTATGATGACAGTATTTGGAATCCAGAAACACTTGTGCAATTTGTTGTTTGTTTTCTTTATTTCGGAATCTGAAAACATTCACACAGTCACGAGGTTTCTGAAAGTTTTGAATGACGAATAATTAGGTATCAAATCTCATATTCTCTTGATTGAACCACTACCTCCGATCCATTAACTAATGCTTACAAAATGATTATCAAGCAAGAGAGGAAGATAATGTCTTAGCAAGTTGATTTTAACAATTTGAATGTTAATTTTATCATTGTGAATTCTACTGAGAACATGGATGCAAGTATTGGAAATACAGTTGTTTGCATGCCTAGTACAACTACTAACAATAACATAACAGAAAGAATTTGAATTTGAATCAAAATAACAGGAAGCATCAATTCACATATTATGGAAAATCTAGTCATATCGTTGATAAATGTTATGAGAAATACTGTTATCCACTGGGTTTTAAAGCAAGAGGCAAACAATCTCAGCAGGCATCAAGACAAAGTCAAGGCCAAAGTTATAGAACCTCTCATCAAGTAGAGGTTGACAAGTTTGGTGTCACTGCTGATTAGTTGAAGAATTTGATGTCTTATCTTCAAAAAAAAAAAAAAAAACTATTGCAAATGTAGCCCCATCTACCAATTTAACATTTGGCCCAGGGAGTTTCACTGCAGTTGCTGTCACAAACTATACTCCCAACGACAATTCCACACAATCTGGCCTGCAGTCAAGATTCCTGCCTCTTCAGGATACTACTGTAGAAGGCAAGTTTGTTTATCTTTTACTTGGATAATTGACAGTGGAGCTACATATCACATTGTCAGCAATCTGCATTATTATGACTCTTATAGGCCAGTCAAGGGTGCCATTACTAAGTTGCCAAATGGAAACAATTTGGTTCTTGATCATATTGGAAAGATAAAACTTTTGTTAGTGTTTTAAGTCTAAACCCCAACTTGTAATTGACAAAACTATTATGGAAAAATTAGATAGTTTTCAGTTTAGGTGTTTGTCAGAGATTGAAGTGAAGACCTGACTACCTGATCGATCAGACACAGGCGGGGACGAAAGACTACTAGCTTGGGATGGCGGATATCTAGAAGGAGATCTATACCGCCATGGGTGGTAGATACGAAGACTTCAGCCCGCACCGCTATAGGCTCCCGGCTGCCTTGTAGGAGGACAATGTAAACCCTGCTACCCCTGCATATGTACAGGGGGCGGTCGACCTGAACCATCAGGCAGTCGGAGGGGTAGGCAGCCAAATTGGCTTAGCCGATGACCCCGACACTCTAGTAGGGAGCCAAGGACCGGCGTTGCTAGACTTGGTCGGGGAAGAAGACAAGGCCGAGCTAGCTGGCCAGTTACTGAGGCGTCGCCAAGATACCAGTGTAGCCGCTCCTGGGGACGCCCACTCTGGACCATCGGAGGGGGCCAACTAAGAGTAGCCTTTATTTTGCCTTCTTTTTTGGATGTAATCTGACTGCCCTTTGGGGCTTTTTTGAAAATGAATTTCTACCCGCGGGGCTTTTGCTTCTTTCTCCTCTTTTTGTATTTAGCTAAGTAGTTTTCCAACTTGCAACTGACTGCCCACGACTCCCTCAGTGGGCGAGGCTAACTACCAACGAGCCCCTGAAAAATAAGCGAATTCCAAAATGACCAAGTCCCTCAGTGGGCGAGGCTGGCTGGCTGCGAGCCCCTGAGAGGCAAGCGAACTCCAGAAGGGCCGGCAAGGATCAACGCATACGAGCCCCAAGAGGCAAACGAACTCCAAAATGGCCAAGTCCTTTAGTGGGCACGGCTGGTTGCTTGCGAGCTGAGCCCCCGAGAAACAAACGAAATCCGAAACGGCCAAGTCCCTCAGCGGGCGAGGCTGGCTGGCTGCGAGTCCCCAAGAAACAAATGAACTCCGAAACGGCCAAGTCCCTCAGTGGGCGAGGTTGACCGCCTACAAGCCCTCGAGAGGCAAACGAACTCTAAATTGGCTAAGTCTCTCAGTGGGCGAGACTGACTGCCTACGAGCCCCCGAGAGACGAACGAACTCCACAACGGCCAAGTCCCTCGGTGGGTGAGGCTGACCGCCTACGAGTGTAACATCCCCTTTTTCTAAACTTTGAAACCCAATATAATCATTCTAAATGGGATTAATCAAGGGTAGATTAAATAAACTAGGATAACAATTCATTTCAATAAACTAAGAGGAATGTCACCTCCACAGTCACCCACTCTTGATAACTACACAAGCTAACAAGATCAACTGAAAGCTAGAGTCAAAAGCTCAACAAAACACCATAACAAGGGAAACAAACCCCAGTGTCTACGCACCATCAAAACAAGGTGGTTCAACTACAACCAACAGCAAAGTGCTAATAAGGGAAGAGGGCACTGATCTAATAGCTACTAAATCTAGAGCTATGCACTACTCTATCACGCGCGCTCTCAAGCACTGGGTCCACCTAAAAGGGGTTAAAAAACACATAGGAAAATAAACCCGTTAGCAAATAATGCTAAGTATAAAAGCTACTCAACCCTGTAAAGTACTATAGATATAGGTTGGAAAACGTTTTGCAATCATACACAATTCTCAAGTATGAAGATAAGAAATCAAGACACTTAGTCAAAGATCTCAATAGATATACTTATATACTTCTATATGCTCAATAACCTATATTCTCATATAATCAAGCTTTAACTCAGAACTCATGCTTGTGCCCAATAACCTATATGCTCAATAACTTCTTCGCGGCATGACCGCCCACCGAAACTCTTCACCTGAAAAGGCAGAGTCAGCCTTCCTCGCTTGGAGGAGGTGACAACTCCAAACTCCTTCACGGTATGATTGGTCACCGATACTCCTCGCCTAAAAAGGCGGAGTTAGCCTTCCTCGCTTGGAGGAGGTGACTACTCTGAACTTCTTCGCGGCATGATCGCCCACTGACACTCCTCGCCTGAAAAGGCGGAGTCAGCCTTCCTTGCTTGGAGGAGGTGACAACTCCAAACTTCTTCGCGGCATGACCGCCCAACGAAACTCTTCGCTGGAAAAGGCGGAGTCAGCCTTCCTCGCTTGGAGGAGGTGACAACTCCAAACTCCTTCACGGTATGACCGCCCACAGATACTCCTTGCCTGAAAAGGAGGAGTCAGCCTTCCTCGCTTGGAGGAGGTGACTACTCTGAACTTCTTCGCGGCATGATCGCCCACTGACACTCCTCGCCTGAAAAGGCGGAGTCAGCCTTCCTCGCTTGGAGGAGGTGACAACTCGAAACTTCTTGGCGGCATGACCGCCCAACGAAACTCTTCGCCTGAAAAGGCGGAGTCAGCCTCCCTCGCTTGGATGAGGTGACAACTTCGAACTCCATCGCGGCATGACCGCCCATCGAAGCTCCTCACATGAAAAGGCGACGTCCGATAACCAATGTTGTTCTAACCGAAATAACTCAAAATTTATTGCCAACTAGAAAGGGAATTTCCACGAAATTACAGGCCACTAGGTTCCTACAACGAACTAATTGTCTAACGAAAGAAAGACAAAACAAAAAAAAAAAAGGGAAGAAATAAAGGCACAACCAGTCGTTTATTGGTATAACTTCTTAAGACGGTGGGTGTTCCATGTGCGCTCTATAGGTTAACCCTCAGTGGTCTCCAGTCGGTAGGTCATGGGGTAGACCTCACTTGCTATTTTGTATGGTCCTTCCCACTTAATTGCCATCTTTCCGCCTTCGGTGGGGTGACTGACCTCTCGATCACTAAGTACGAGGTCTCCCACCTGAAGGTATCTAATTTTGGTTCTTTTATCTTTGTAACGCTTTACAGCCTATTAGTACTCGGCCATTTGGGCGTAGGCTGTGTCCCGCATTTCTTCCAAGAAATTCTTCTCGATCTGTAGTGCCTCCTCATTACCCTCATCGTTGTACAAAAGGACGCGCCGACTAGGTACCAGGAGCTCGGTCGGGACCTCGTATTGCCAGCGCAAAGGGTGATGTGGGCCAACATAATGAAGATCCATTAAGAGTACCAATTTGGCCAATCACAAGACCCAGGTCTAATCAATTAAGGCAACTCTTCATTGATGATGTTCAAAGATGGTGGAATTCCAAGTCAAGCCCATTTGCAAAAGATGAATAAGAACTCAAGGCTTTTTACTATTGTTTAAGTGCTAATTTTGGAGATTAAATTAGGCCTAAATCAGCCTTATTATTTTTAGTCATCATTATTTTAAATTGTTTGGATTGAAAGAGAAAACACTGGTTTGTATTTAGAAAGGATTCCATAAATCCCTTTCTAAATAGGACTATATTTACTTGCTTTCTAGAATAGGTTTAGGAATATTTTTCCCATTGTACTTAGGATTACAATGCTGCCCTATACCTATAAATAGGACACATGCATAGTAGTTTTACGGGGCTTTCATTCAATAAAATTTTTAAGTTTTTCTTTACACTTGTGTAAGAAACCTTATAGCTAATTGTGGACTCAATTAGTGGCTAATTCGTGGACTCGACTAGCAAATTGATTCGTGGAATCGAATCAATCTTCCTTTCTTCAACCTTATATTTAGGTTCGTTGACTCGCTCATGAATCAAAGGAAACTAGATTCGACTCTAGTTATTTGAAAATTGCATCATCAAGGTGATAAGTGCATAATTGTTCATATTTATACTACATGTCTACCCCATATTTAACCTTGTTTTGTTTATGAAGTGTCACAATGTTGTTCAAAATGATCTTTATTTTGCTCATTTGATCCATTATGCACAATTCATTATCTTTGAGTAGAAATGAAGGATTTTAGACCATGTTAGATGGATTTGGAGTCAAGGGGAGCCAAGGTGAAGCTAAGGAGATGGATGCAACACTTCCAAAGGAGCCAAAGAGTGATGTTTTCAATGGTGTTGATCATATGGACAAATTAAACCAAGGCAAAAGTGGAACAAGTGTCAACAAGCTGGAATTCTCGCATGGATTGGTCACTATTTCGTTTTCAGGTCATATCTCGCTCTAGAAGTATCCAAATTAAGTGATTCTTGTTCCATTAGAAAGGAGACTCAAAGGGAAACAATTCTTATAAATACATAAAAGCCTAAAAAGGAAGCCACAGGGGTCAAACTTGTCCTTGAAGTTGAAGTTCAAAACTTACAATCCAAAACTGACCACTGTTTAGTTTTTTAACCATATCTCGGCCTAGGAATGTCTAAATGAAGTAATTCTTGTGTCATTGGAAATAAGACTCGAAGGACTACAACTTTCATGAAGACGATAGTTTTGAATTATGAGGTTTTGAAGGCCAAAAGACACAGCCAAGTTCACGGCCGTGTCGGTGGCCGTGAATTTCTGGGCGAATTTTTGTAGCTCTGCCCAGAAGAGCAGATTTTGGACACAGCCAGGGACATGGCCGTGTCACCTATGCTCTGAAATTATTTAAGTTCGTTTTTTTGTCATTTCTACTCGGTTTTGAGCTATGCTTGAACCCTAGCTTCTCTCTTTCATTCCCCTTCATATTTTTAGGTTAGATTAAGCTTAAATTTATGTTTCTTAAAACTTTTGAAGCTTGTAATCTTGGATTTGAAGCTTGGATTCCAACATTTCAAGATTCCACCATCCATTTTCAATAGAGAAGCTTTCTTCCTTTTATCTCTTTCTTTTGCAAGATTTATGTTTAATGCTTGTATTCTTGTGTTCTTTATGCTATTTAATAATGAGTAGTTAGTTTATGGACTTGTGTTAGGGTTGTATTATCTATCTTGATGCTTGATTTGTGATTATTGGAAAAAAAAAGGAAAGAACTCCAACCTAGGGTTCATGTGTTTGTGAAGGTTTTGTATTTATATATTGTTAATGCTTGGTGTACAACATTCATTGGCATGTTTTGGAGGATTTTTGGCCTCAATGAGAGTTGGGTCAAGATTCCAAGTCACTTTTTGCATAAACCTGATTTTTCTTATGAAAATGGGGGAAATTGGAGGTTTTGGATGTTTTGTGTTCTTGAAGAACTTGGAGTTGATTCACCACGAGAGTGGGGCAATTCCTTGTTCTAATCCTTGTTAATTTGTTCACATGAGTGACTTATAGACTAGGATTCCTACGTGCATCCCCTTAATTCCTTGGTTGTGTGATTTCTCCCTAATCCCATAGGTTGTTAAAGCATCTAGATGATAATGCTCTCTATCTTGAGTCATATTTCTTTATTTCGTGTTTACATCTTGTTAATATGTGTTTGTATTACTTTTTTTAGTTGCTGTAGCCTCAATCTCGTTATGATTTGCTTAGCTTCTTGTTGATTTCCTTATGCTAGTGTCTAGTTGCTTGTGATTGCGTATTGCGTGCCATAAATCCCAATCCCTTGAGGACGAAATTACACACCCGTACACTCACCATCACTCATTTTTGCTACATCACAAGGTAATTGAAGCTACAATGGGATTCTTCTAAGTCTTTGAGGATTCGGGGCTAAGGGTTTCCCATGATATTTAAGGTATTTTGTTCCATCTCTATCTTTACTTTTGAGAGCATTCTTGGGACAATATTCCATCTTATTTGAACCTTGGACTAGATTGATATCAATTTGGTATTCAGAGCCTATGTTTATCTCATAATGATTACAAATTTGGTTCCTTAGGTCATATATCATAAACATTGCAAATTTTTTTCCTTAGGTTTAAAAAAAAAGAAGAACATATCATTCTTAATTTACATACTGTTTTTTTTTCGTTTCTTATACATCAAAAAATAAAAAATAAAAAAATTCTTTCTTGATTGTGTTCTTGAATCTTTGATACATATTCTTTAGTTTCTTGAAAAACTATCCCAAAAGAGTTTTCCCATTTTCCCATCCAATATCAACGATACCTCACACCTCTGAAGCACCATATTACCAAAAATTCTGTCAAGAAAACAATGCCATCTCACTCTTACCTATATCCTATGCGCAATTACGCGCAATCACGTCGCAATCATACCCTGTCTAGATTTCCGCATTCTGTGACCAGTTTCAAAGAATGACCTTTATCTTGAGATCCACAGGTCAGTTTAATATTAAATTTTGATATGTTGTATATCTCTTCTTGGGCGTTCTTTTGATATATTACACATATGCTAATTCCTTCTGGTCATTGAGATATTGATCTTCAAATTCAGGGCAGCGATTCTGTTTTTCTAGGTGATTCTTGAAATTCTTCATTCTGTTTTGAAGTGCTTGTGTGTAACCACTTGGTCCGAATTTTTTTTTGCTATTTACTGTACTTATTTGGAGGTTACGTATCAAAAAAAAATCAAAAAAAAAAAAACATGAAAGTTGAAAAAAATCAAGAAATTTGAAAAAAAAAAAACAAGAAAAAAGGAAAAAGAATAAGGTTGGGAAAGAATCTGGTTGGTAGGAGAGTTTTTTTAACACCCCATAATTTTACCCTTTAAATCCGAATTAATTATTTAATTAATTTCGTTAGGAGTAGCAAAAAAGGATTTAATTTGGCCGGGATCCCTTAAATAATTGGTATGGTCCATGGTAGACCGTGAACCCTTGTCTGTATTTAAGCCTTTAAGCCCGTTAGAATAAAGAAGGTACGCCCAATACTATTCAGATTCACATTAGGAATCCTAAACCTATTTAAGAAGAACCAGGGATCAATTGGAACCCTTTCACCCATCCCTCTCCCTCTCACTCGAAAATCCCTCCCAAAGAGATAGTCAAAGAAGTCCCCATCAACAAGCCTAGGAATGATCGATTAGGAAAGAACCCTGAGGAAGAATCGTAGAATTCGTGACAAGTTTAATTAAGCTAAAAGGTAACCCATGTCTTACAAAACCTATTTTCCTTGCTATGTTATGATTTATTGGAATCCGTGAATGATGGAATGCATTATCATGTGATTATGCCTTGTTAGAGCTTGTATTTAGGGTTTATACTGTGATCTATTGATACTCTTGATAATCTTGGGGTAATCGTAAGCATGTTCTTGTGTCTATGCGTATTTAGAGCTTGTATTTAGGGTTCGTATTGTGGTTTCTTGATAGTTTTGATGTTCTTGATGATCTTGGGGTAATTATATGCATGTTCTTCTGTTTAAGCATGTTTATAGCTCGTGTTTAGGGTTCAATAATGTTGTTCGTCGAGTCTTTCTATGTATTCAAGTCCCTATTATTGTTGATGTGAGTTTTGGGGTGTTTGGACTTGAATTTGGGCATAACTGGTGAATTCCCGAAGTGGGAAAAATGCCATGAAGGGTTGTTCCAGTGGGTAATCGGTGGGGGGACGAACCCCAATCCGACCACCCGCCGGAACGGCGAAGTGCTCCAGCGAGCGGCAAGCGGGTGGAGGACCACCCGCTGGAACGGGAGGTTCCGCCGACGGGCAGTCCGGCGGGTGGTTGACCACCCGCCGTACCGCCCGCTGGTACGGGCTGGTGCGGGGCCGTTCGGTCTCTGTTTGGTCGAACCCCGTGTACCGCAGTGTCTCCTTTGGTGTTTGTGAGTCTAGAATAATGTCCTAGGTACCGTAAATAGGATTTGTGAGTCGTGTTTATGAATGAGGTCTAAACTTTTATTGTGCGGGTCCAAAGTATGATCTATGTTATTCCCCATAGGTTGTATGTTTATATTGATGTCACATGTCTTTGTGAGTCTATTCGTAAGCTCTCCCTTTCCTTGGTTATCCCTTGATGAAGTTGTTGTTGAGTCTTGAATGTGGTGTTGATGTCCATGGGTGATGAAAAGATATGAGATTGGTGGAAAAAAAATGTTAGTGGTATGATGCACTACGCGTGCTTATGTTATGGTGCTGCGGTACCTATGTTATGTGAACTGCTTGGGTTTAGATTATTGTGATGCGGTACAATCAAGTTTATGTAATGGCACTGCGTGTGCTGAGAGATCGGTGGTATGTTGGAGGTCATGTTGGAGGGGAGCATTGCTCCGGAGGGATAAGGCTGATGGAGTACAGGGTGGTCTGGAGGTACAGGTTGGAACTGATATAAGGTTAGAGCGGCGTAAAGGTTGGAACTTGGTATAAGGTTGGAACATAGACGTGTCTGGTGGTCATGGTCTGTTATTGTGTTTCTTATTGTTGTCTTGTCTTGTGGCCATAGTTTGTATGCTTGTATCGTAATGTGTCATGTCGTGTCGTTGTTAATGGTATGTCATGAGTCCTCATCCTGATTTGAAAACTAGAGTTCTTTAGGACTATAATTATGTATTCCCAAGTCTCAAAATGGTTTTCTTATATCTATACATATATTGTACTTAACACGTGGGAGTGGGTTACTTAGCATTATTCGCTAACGGTTGCTACACCGCATGTTTTTTAGGTACAGATTAGTTGGCTCATGAGTGCGTTAGACGGAGTTGCGGTTCCTAGTTTAGTTAGTGAGTAGCCTTAGTTTGACGGCCCGTGCGCCATTTTGTATGCAAATGATGTTTATGGATTATGATTAGCTAGTTAGTAGCCTGTGCATCTAGGTTCTCACGCTTAGTTGTGGCATAGCACCCCTACACTATTATGTTTGGTTTTCGTTTATTTGGGTTTTAATGATAGACTTATTCTTATTTCGTAAGCTTTAATGGTTTTAAATTATGCTGAAAATCGGGGGTGTTACAGTTGGTATCAGAGGCTAAGTTCGACCCTAGGTTAATGCCTTATGGATTAGACTTTAAGATGTTAAGCTCGAATTCTAGATATTTAAGTACTTAGGATGTTGGAATCTTATGACGCGTGGTGAGGTTGTGAGTTTATTTATCGCTTTCTGTTAAGTTTTCCTATGTTCGTTCCTTGTTTAGCTTTCATTCTTGTAATTAAGACGCTAGGTAAGGGTGCCTGTTCCTGACCCACATATATAACCGATGTTAAACCTGTAGAATCTAGGATGACACCACCAAGAAACCGTGCAAGGACCCCTGAGACGCTTACCAATGAACAGTTGGCTCAGAACTTGCATCAGTCGACCCAGATCGCCCAGGCACTGAGCAACAATCTCCTCAACAACAATAACCATCCTCCGCCCAATAGGAATTGCAACGTAGCTTGTCAGGTGTTGAGTCATCGTCCTCATATCTTTGATGGGGAAGAAAACCCTGTAATACTTGAGGAATGGATCCGAACGTTCGATAAGATCTTTGAAGTATTGGGTTGCCTAGAAGAACGTCGAGTCGAGCTGGCCTCGTTTTACTTTGGGCTCGAGGCCAACCTATGGTGGATTCATGAAGGCCCAGTCTATAGACAAGAATCGGGTTCCAATTGGGGAGCCTTGAAGGATAAGTTACAGGAATGCTTCTACCCCGCACACGTAAAAGCGACTATGTACGAAGAATTCTTTCACTTGAAACAATGATTCTCTACGGTCGTAGAATACCACAAGAGGTTCTTAGAGTTGGCTCGTTTCGCCCACGTGTTGGTTCCTACGGAAACAACGAAAGTGGAGAAATTCGTTGCGGGACTCAACTTCGAGGCTAGGAAAACCTTAACCATAAACAAGCCAAGGACTCTCAACGACGCTTACAGCAGCGCCGCCAATCTTTACCAGATTCAACAACTGCAACGGGGGACCCAAAAGCAAGCGAAGAGAAAGAACAATGGAAGTGGAGGCCCTAACTTAAAAAGGCCAAGGAACAACTCCAACGTTAGGGAGACTCCTCAGCAAGCCCAAGGACCGCCTAGGGGAAACAACGAGGCCGGATGGGGGAAAATTCTTTGTAGAAGATGTGGTAGGGATCATCGGGGCAAAGATTGCCAAGGGAACGCCTTGCGTTGCTTCAACTATGGAGAAGGGGGCCACAAGGCTTTTCAGTGTAACCAACCTGCACGTGCAAGGCCACCGCCCACAGGGCAACAAGGCAATACGAATAACCGAGGGGGCTATGGAGCACCTGGGAAGGTGATCATCATGAGTCGCACTCAAGCCGAAGCTGAAACCAGAACCAAAGCCATACCCATAGGGGACGAGGACGAAGACCTTACAGGTAACCCTTTTTGTTGTGGGTAGAATTAATTGATTAATCCAATTAGCTTAATTACGTGCCCCATCCATGGAGCTAATTAAAATAATTAATTGTGTTCCCCCGTGAGTACTAGGCCTTGGAAATAATACTTAGGTGACCTAGGAGACCTTGACATAAAGTCTTTGATTCCACCTTGAGGCTAGTAAGAGTAGAATCTTAGGAACCTTAAGGGAGTTGAACCAAAAACGAGCTAAGTATAGCCTAGGAGTTTCAAACCCAATACCTCCCTCTTCCAAAACCAAGCTCTTAACCATTAGACCACAAGTGTTTCTTAAAATCCTTAGAAATACAAAACTTTCTTAACTCTTCTTCCAGATCCCGAAACCCAAAATCCCCAAATCAAAAACCCTTCATTTCTTCTTCTCTCCCTCTCTCACAGCCGAGCAGCCACCCCCCAACCCCTGTCCAAAGTCCGTCTATCACTCGCACACCACCCAACTACCTCCCGTCGACCGCCACACCACCCGGCCATGCACCACCGTAGAATCGCCACCCCTCGCCACCCGTCCGAAGCCCCACCGCTGTCCGCCAATGAGGAGCCGAAAGTAGTTGTGGCAGCCCAGCTACCAGCGTCGCACCACCGCCCAACGCAATAAACCGCTGTCCGCCGTCCGAGCACCACCGCCACTCATCGCCGGTTGACCTCGCCGGAAAGAAAGGAAGGTTCCCAACCCCAAACCACTCTGCAAACCCCTACAATGCCGAGGAGACCCGCTAATTCCCGTAGGATGGAGTGGAATAACACCGATTATTCAGTGATTGAAGGTAAAGCCCTTGAACCCGATTAATTTTCTAAAGAATTATTGACATGCTTAGGTTCCAAGGCTTGTTGGGCACATTTTTGGATATAAAATGCGATACGTACCCCGAGTTGGTGAAGGACTTATATCACCACATGGTAACCACCAAGAATGGGGATAAGTTGGATATCACCTTCGAGGTTCGGGGTGTGAAAGTAGTGCTGAGTGAGGCCCGTTTGGCCAAACTCCTAAAATTGACTATCACGGGCGTATCCGAGTACGACCGTAAAACTTGGATTTGTACTCGAACTTTGGGGTACAAGGACTATTTGAGTAATTTGTTGGGTAGGGAGGACGGAATCTCCATAGCCACGAGGCCAGACAAGAAATGGTTAACTGCCGAGCAAAAACTCTTGGTAATGCTTGTAACAGAAAGCCTATTGCCCAACAATAATAAGAGTAAAGATGTTAGGAGCCTAGAGTGTACCTTTGCTTACTTCCTTAAGCACAAGGTCGAGTTCAATTTGCCCGCCCTCATGTTCAAACACATGGATTTCTGCAAATCCAACAATAGACTGAGCTTGCCCTACAGTATGCTCCTAAGTTGGATCTTGGTGAAAAAAGGGGTGGATGTGAGCCAGTCTGAGGCCAAACCCATAGGCGCGATGATCTTCAATGCAGAAAACCTCCGCCGCAATAACATTTATCATGTTGGCGCGGGAGAGTACATCACTATTGAGGAGGTAAGCAAGAAGCCTATAGCAAAAAAACAGTTGTTAATGGAATAGTTGGGCATCCCGAACAAGAAGATGAAGCAAGCCATCCAAGAGGACGAAGAAGGAGAAGAACAAGAGGAGGGAAACGACGACCCGAGTGACACGGAGCCCACTCGGGGGGAAAGGGAAACCGGGGATGTAACACCCCCGATTTTACCACATATTTAAAACTTAAATTCAAAGGAAAACATCTAATCATCAAGACATAAAGCAAGCGGAAGCTAGATATAATCGGTAAGTGTTATGCCACACCTATCTCAAACATAGGTGCACAGGCGGGAAAACTACAAGTCAACAAAATATAAAGTGTCTAGGCACACAGGCCGCTAAAACAGGCTCACATGCCAACAAAAGGTAACGTCTAAACATGGTGACTAATCTATCTAGCGATCCACATCTAGCGCTCTTAGCAACTACTCAAAACCTATAGAACAAGGGAATAAACATGGGGATAACACCCGGTCAGCGAATATTGCTAGTAATCCATCAATACGCGTTAAATAATATATATAGATAGATATAATCAAAACCATTTAAAATAGGAAGACAATATATATCATTTCAAAACCGAGGGAAATCAACTTCAAAGACTCAACAATCACTCACAAGAGAAACGAGGATCTTCATCCTCACAATAGCAATAAGACCACAAACATGAGAGACACACAACTCAGGATGCATTCTACTTATCACAAAGTAGAATACTTCAAGACATGCTCATAAGCAAGAAATCACATTCACACAGTGACAACTACATGCCACAGTGACAACTACATGTCACAAGTTTCATAGTTCCAACCTTATGCCCTGTTCCAACCTTATGGCTACCCCCGGCCTTATTTCAATTCCAACCATTACCTCCAAGTAACCCATGTACTTCTGAGTCCAACCTTATGCCTCCGGGGACCGTCGTCCCCCCACCTACATCCACCCACATTTCCACCTACATTTCAGTACACAAGGGTACTATTCATTTCATTCACACAACCACCTACATGTGAGCAAAGCTCAAGTAACAACCACCCACATTCAAATCATAGTCACACAAGGTCATCATCATTACCAAGAGGACTAAGGCTCAACAATAGCCTCAATCAAGTATCAACAAAGGGTACAACGATTTGCATACGTTCACATCATAGGAATCAATCAAGAGATCACAATAAAGACATGAGACCATACTCAACAACAAAGGATTACAATCCAACACCAAATGATTGTCAACGCAAGTTGCCAATCCCAATAAGGAGGTACAAACAACACATACAATATTTCAACATCAAACTAGCATGCTTATCAAACGGGTAAACCAAAAGTAGTTCCAAAGAACATTCAAGACTCATAATTAGCCCAACGAATCACAAGGTTGGACCCTTAGCACGATTCAAGACACCAAATCCTACATGCATTCCTAACACACAGTTCTAGACATACAAAACATCAAAAAGACTCACAAATAGCCCATTAAAACAAAAACGGGAGGTCAAAACATCAATACCGAGAAGAAAGAATCACGGGGAACAAATCCCCGACAACAATCCACAATGTTCCCCGCTCGGGGTGGGGCCACGGGTGGACAACCACCCGCGGGTACCTATCCCACGAGACGACGTACCCCGCGGGTGGGGCGGCGGGTAGGCCTCCGCCCGCCGTTCCGCCCGCGGGTACCACCTGTACACCAAAAATATCCCTTCGGGGATTTTCAACAACAAGGCCAAGTTCAAGTCCAAAACACCCAAAATCTCACACACAACATCAATATGACTTGAACCCAAGAAATAGCCAAACAATGGCATTCAGGAACCCTAAGAACAAGCTCTAAACATGCATCACCACAAGACAATGCATCAAATCTCACAAATCAACACAAGAATCACAATTAGAAGCCAAGAATCATCATATAAGTAAGAAAATAGGTTTCGTATAGCATGGGTTACCTTTGTAGCCTTACAAATTCCTCTTAACACCCTTAATAGCCTTTCCTAGTGCTCCTCTTCCACACCAACATCTCACACATAACAAAACACAACAAAGATCCTAACTTTAGAAAAAGACATCTAAAAGGAGGTTAAAAACACCAAAAAGCTAAGGATCATACCTTTCCCTATGCTCAAGATGAAGAAAGTAGGAATCTTGGGAAAATATCTTGCAAGACTTGGATGCTCAAATTCTAGCTTGGAGAAGAAGCTAAATCTTTTTAGAGAGAGGCAAGAGTTTTTGTGTCTTAGGTTGAAGAGTGAATGAAATGAAAGAGTCTTGCTAGGTTAGCTTGAATCACAAATCTTAGGTAGAAATACATTCCTACCCTTACTAATGTTGGGAAGACAAGGAAACAAGGGCACAATTCAAGAAGCACAAGGAGACTTAAGTGACTAGTCAAATCTAGTCCTTCGACTATTAAATTTCAGGATTTTTAGGAATAGATTAGCAAGGAGACTTGGATTAATTCTTCAATTAATCCTTGATTAGTGTTTGGATTTACGGGGTGTCACATCCTCTCCCCCTAACAAGAAGCTTCGTCTCCGAAGCTTGGGTACGACGAGTTCAATCAAACGGGTAGCAATGAATCAACAATGTGACAAAAAGAAGCAAGAATGCCATTAACCAAAACTTCAAGGATCCAAAAGGTGTAAGGTTTTGCACGAATCAAGAAAATGCAAGGTTTCAAAGATCACAAAGGAATTTCTCAAGCGACATAAACACTAGCACCACCTTACGGGCAGCTAGGAACCTTCTACGCCAATCCTAAACTCAGAACAACTAAATTCTAACAAAGCAAAACAACTGTACCAACTACCCAAACAACAAGCTAACAACCAAAGCAAACAAGAGAAAACAACAAAGCGCAGCCAACAAGCAACAACTACTAAATGGCAACAACAAACGAGAGAAGAAATGAGCTTACCCCAAACTTCGGCCTAGGAGGAATCAACCTCCGAATCTTCAGCTTCCTCGTCCGAATCTTCCTCAGCTCCACCACGGCTAGAACCAGCCTCCAACCTATCTAACCTCTGATTGACAGTGACAAACTGAGCCTTCATGAAAGAGAAGCCTTCCTCAATCATCCGATTCTGCTGACGAAGGAGGGTCACCACACGTTCCTCATGTGTCATTGCGTCATGCTCTTTCTTGGTCCTTACTTCCTTCAATTCCTCCTTACGTTCTCTTCGCTTTTGAAGTCACTCTCCTCGACCTCTTCTGCTTCTTCTCCTTCTTCTTCCTCTTCTCTCTCTTCTTCGCCTTCGTTCTCAGCATCTCCACCTAAGCTCTGCACCGCTAGGTTCAACTTTCCAACAGGGATCTCAAGCTCTTCAACTAACGAACTCCTCTCGGTAGGGTCTTTTCTTGCGATCTCCTCAAGAGTGATGTAGTCATCATCATCCAGCTGAAACAGGTTACAACTTCAGAGATTTGTGGTGTCCAGAACCATCTTGCCCACTAGCTTAGGCACACAGCCTTCAACACTCA